GTCCGTGCCAAAAGGCGCCGGCGGTGGGGCGTCGACATACGCCAGCGAGGGCAGCGAAGCCGAGCCGGACGCGCCGTAAGTCGCCGGCGGCGGGGCCGCATCGTAGGTCGCCAGCGGTGGAGCCGTGCCAGAAGGCGCCGGCAGCGGGGCTGCAGAGGCGGTGGGGGACACCATCGCTGGTCCGACGGCGGCGGCTGGTACTTAGACTAGTACCGGTACTCCTGTAGCCTTCACGTGACGTGCTCGTAGAAACACGTACACTTGAGAAATCGATTAGATCTCGTAAACCGCGCAAGGAAGCACTTGATCAGAGTTCCTTCACGTGACTAGCAGCGACAACAGCTACGTCTGATTTCCCTCGGGACTTGAAGCGGACGACTTGACTTGGAGTAGTAGCTACGCTGCCCGCCTATACGTGCAACAGCGGCGGCAACTCACCGGCGGATTGGCAGGGCCGGCCCTGGGGAGGGGCAGGGGGACGGCCGCCCCGGGCCCCCAAAGTCTAGGGGGCCCTCCCCAGGTATGTAGGTTATGGCCCAACGTTTTCCACAACAGAAAAACTCCTTATCGGGTTGGGCAACTGGGCCTCCCGCAGCATGGAGGCATACGCTCGTGCAGCAGCTCAGTCAGCGGGGCACGGAGACAGCGGTCGTTTCCTTCCTTCTTTCATCTTTCACGTATAAAAAGAAAAAATGTCTAAAAAACGTAATTGATCCCTTCCTATTACATCTCGCATTGATGCAGCGACTCCAGGCCGCCGATGCTTCCTCTGTTCGTGATTGCGCGCCCGATGCTCCTTTTCCCTTTCCTTCTGATCCCAATTTCTGTCCTATTTTAGATCGTCAGTAGCTCGCCGCTGATTTCAATTCCTTGGGGCCCTGCCGTATCCCGGCTTTGGTTTCTGTCCATCACCGATTCTACTGTAAGGTATGTCATATATTCATAAATCGTATTGTGATTCCACGGGTTCATAGCCGGCATGGCGGCACTGTTCAACCGTTGATGCAATTTTCCTTTTAACATTGTGTCTTATCTTGTCGCCCGAAAACAGTATGCATCTGGTAGCGATAGAAGGAAGATGAAGAAAATACAAGGTATAACACGGTATTTTGAGAAGTACAGAGATAAAGAGTTTTCTGCTAGTTTGCAAATTGCCAAAGGTATTACAACTAAAATGAGTATAGAGCCATTATTTTTTGTAAAAAGTCGTGCTATGAGGAACAAACAATTTGACGAAAGTGATTTCCAACAAGAAATTCTAGAAGCTAGGAAGACCTTCAAGTTAAATAGTTTTTTTTGGTTGATATGTCGATCACTTCTTTCAAAGATAGATTTAAAGAACTCATGGTGTCTAAAGATATATTCAGATTTTTATTGAGCTCAGGCACTCTGAAGTCACTGAATGATAATGAACCTTAAGAGCGTTGCACAAAGTTAGCAGAAACTTTCTCTCTTGATGGTTCATGTGCTGTTGAGGTATATGATCTATTTCTAAATTTAAGGCAAGAATTATAAATTAGTTGATATGCATTTTGGTTTTGGATGCATTGTTATAGATAATATTTCATATATATGTATATTGATTGTTAGTGTTAAGATGTCTATCTTAAGGGCCCCGCGTTTTAATCTCGCCCCGGGCCCCCAAAATCTCAGGACCGGCCCTGCGGATTGGACAAAAGCGGCTGCACCCTTGGTGATATCAACCCGTACAAAAATAAAACTCCAGTCGGCGGGTAGGCGATGGGTAGCACGCGCGATTTCGATCGGGCGCGGCAGATGCGATGCGGCGGTGATCGGGTGCTGCGTGCGGACGAGTGGGATCGGGCGAGGCGAGCGGCTGGAGTAGCACGCACGCGGCAGGGAGGAGCGGCCGCCGGCGCGGGAGATGCGCAGACGGCGGCGGCTAGGCGGCGGCAGCGACGGCGGCGGCGCGGAGGAGTCGCGCGGCGGCGGCGGCGGAAGACTAGTAGGAAGAAAACCTAAAAACTGATACCATGTATGATTGCACGATGTATTGCTCTTCGTGCATAGGCGTATATATGATGTACAAAGGTGAGCCACGGACCTCAACTATACAAGGAACTAGGAGACGGACCTAATACACAATATGCACATAACACATATACTCAACACTGTGACCTACCTCATTTCAACAAATTCTCATTTTGAGAACTGCTATGTTTACTATGATACTGTTGAGCAGTAAACCCCTTTCGCCCAAAACTTTTGAGCTGCGACATAGCTTATTTCTACAAAGTCTAATTATGAGAACTACTCTGTTTACTAGTATACTATTGAGAAATTGGTTTACCCAGTACTTCACCAAGGTATTCCCCATCCTCACAGAAAAGGTGCTACCTTTTCGTGTTCGAAACCATGACTCACTTTTTTATTGGTACTTCCAAGTAGTATATTTCATCTGGTTCCCGAGCGTTTCAAATTTATTTGGATTGTCTTGACAGTTTTTCTACTCGTGCTTCCGAGCCCTAGTTACTCTTTCACTAATGGTTAGATTTTGGATTCTCTCTCTATATTATGTACCATACCACTTGTGGTTGCATCTCTCTGAGTACCATCAAGCCATTTCACTCATGACTCATTACGCCCCTTGCAACTTTGCAAGCCACTCACAACTCCATTTCATTCCACTCCACTTAAATCCACCCGCTTACTACATAGAGAAAAAGATATCCAAGGCAAGAAGAACAAGAACTAAGTGTTCGATGATTCTCTGTTCACTAGTGGATTCTTAGATAACCAAAAACTCTCCTTTCTTGAATACCTATACCTTAAATTATTCTCTTTCACTACAATCCCCGGCCACCATGTCGTAGCCCTGCCACACCACCGCACGCCGGTGTGCCTCCATACTTTTCCCCAAAGCATGGCGCCCTCGCCGAGAATCCGCATCCCGCGCCGTGACCCGCCAGGAGAGGAGAAAAGAAGGTGCCACAACTGGTGCCTCCTGGAGGAAGCGAGAGGTGGGGGAGCAGAGGGAAGGGAGTTAGAGTATCTACAGTTGGGCGCCCTAAACCCGTTTCAAACGCCCGGGCAGACGGCCTGATCATTGACCTGTCGCAAAAAAGTGACCCAGACAGGCTCCTAAAGCAGGCCTCAAATGCATGGGCTGACCGGCACCCCTCATATCCATCCCAAATCTGGGGCGGATATGGGGCGCCCGGACGCATCCGCCATGTCAGACTGATGATTGGTCCTACACGAAATCGCCGAGAAACCCAAGAGTCCAATGGGCGTCTCCTCCGTTGCCACTCCGGCGGGGCGCGTAGTGCCCTAGCCCGTCTATTTAAGTTGTCTGCCGGCACTGAAACCCTACCCATCCACATTTCCCCCTCCCTTCTGACGCCGCCACCACTTTCTGCTCGTCGTCCGCCACTTTCCGCTCGCCGTCCACCACTTTCTGCTAGTAGCCATGCTCCCACGACGCCAGACAACGTTTCTAACGCCGGAGCGCCGGTTGCAGCTCCTTGAGCATGTCCTGGCAAGGCGCGAAGTCCGGATCGCCGCGGGGCTACCTCCGGATGTAGTAGATCAGAAAGAGGAGGAGCACGAGGACGGAAAGGAGGAGGAGGACATGGGGGCGCTGGGCGCGGATCTGTAGGCGGAGCAACAAACAATCCTTTATTCCTCCGATCGGAATCAGCGGCGGAGGCGGAGCACGCCGCGGACATCGACAAAATGCTCGCGTTTATGGATGAGGAGAAGAAGCCGAAGCCCTCCTATGCGCCCATCTACCTGGCGCCTGGCACGCACGTCATGGACATCTTCGAAGACGAAGCTTACATTGGTCTAGCATGACGTACGTACTACGTAGGAAATCTTTTGCATGGTTTGTATGAATCTAGGGGATGAAATATGAGATATTCGAATGCATATCTTCAAATATGAGGCATGACCTATCAGTGTCCGCAGACGCATCCGAACGTTTGAGGGATCGGATTCGAATGCATATTTTCAAATATGAGGCATGACCTATCAGTGTCCGCAGACGCATCCGAATGTTTGAGGGATCGGATTTGCTGCCCGCGGCCGTAGATGCTCTTAGAGGTTGTGGTGCCTAAGATTTGCCCGAGATGTTGTGGAAAAGGCACCGACGAAAGAAGTGTTTTTTTTTCCACTCAGACCTCACGTTTCAACTGCTCGCCCGACGACCACCCGCCCCACCTTGTCCCCGACCTCAATCCATGTGACGCCGCATCTCTTGAGCCGGCACGCTCGCCTCGCAGCCATGACCCCCCGCCATGAGGACCTCGGACAGCAGCCATGGATCGGCGTGTGACGCGACTCCATGGATGACAACAGATGCCGTCCCAGGCAAACGCGCGCGAGCTGGGTGGCAGCCGCCCCATCCCAGCGTCCACGGCATGTGTGCGTGCAGGAACATGCCCCGGTATCCTTGGCGTCTGTGCGTGCAGTGCGGGGACACGGCGGGGCTCCGAGCTCTCGCGGCGCCACGACCTCGACCGTGACGAGCCGTGTGTGCGTGCGCGTTGGCTCCCGACTCCGCCCGCTGCTCGCTCATGCGCGCTGTATACTTGTGCGTGCGTGCTATCTGCTGGTGTGCGCGTGGTGTGTGCCTGTGCGCTGGTCCTCTGGCGTGTGTGTGCTCTGATTGTGCCACCGTGCCGGACGGCGCACACAACGATAAATTGAAGAAGCCAATCTCCACTGTGAGGAAGGACGGCACATAGTAGAATGTCTAAAGAGATGCAATGAACCATGGCTCCGCAACTCCATCATCCACTATTTTTACTAGTATCAGTTATGCCCAGTTCCATTACATCGTGATTCTGAGAAAGGAAAAGAATCTATTACATCGTGGATGTGCCAAGCAAAACAACTGCGCAAGCAAAGATCAAGGGATTCACAGTTAATGAAAAATGATTATAACATGTCTAATACACAAGAATACCTGCGTCAACTAAATGCAGAAGGAAATAAAAAAATAAAGCTGGGGATGGCCGCCAGGCACTGTGATCCTTCTATCTGATCTTCTTGTTCATGTTGCCGGCGAGCTGCCGCATCTGGAACCTCCAGAACATGAAGATGGCGAGGGCGGCGCCGACCAAGATTAACAGCGCCACCATCTCCCCCTCCCCCTCCTTTTTCCACTCCACCTCCTCGATCCGCCATTCCCTCTTCCCCTCCACCTCCGCCTCCACCAGCGCGTACACCCGCTTCCGCTCCCTTACCGCCACCGCCACCGCCGCGACGGAGCCGTCCGGTTCCCCCACGTCATGCTCCGCGCAAGACACCCACCCGTCGTTGCTCCCGACCAGGCGCAGAGTCGCGGCCCCGCCCACCGCCACCATCCCATCGCTCCGCACCGCGACGGCGACCGGCGTGGGGGGCGTAAAGGGCCCTGAAACGTCTCTTGCGGATCCGTCCTCCATGTCGACGCGGAGGAGGTGGCCGGTGCTGGGACGGCCGACGAGGAGGAACCCCCGGCTCACGTGTGCGGCGAGGGAGGAAAGGGGCTCCGAGCCATAGACGGGCGAAGCAGGGAGCGCGGCGAGGTCGCCGTCAGTGGAAAGGCTGTAGATTTGGGCGCCCAAGGTGAGGAAGGCGACGCCAGATTGTGGGTCCACGGCGACGCCGCCGGGCGCGGCGGGGTCGGGGAGCGTGGTGGAGAAGAGGAGGCGATGGGGCCGAGGGGTGCGGAGGTCGAAAGCGGAGACGGAACCGGCGGACGCTACTATGAGGCGACGGCGGCGGTCGTCAACGGCGACTGCGGAGGCACCGGGGGACGCGATCAATTCGGTCACGCCGGCGTCGGATACGGAAAGGACGGCGTCGCCTCCGCCGGCGACGACGAAGTGCTGAGCGGTGGGGTCCCAGGCCAGGGAGGAGGGGGAGACGCCGCGACTAGGGATGAAGGAGACGACGTGCCGCGCGGAGGAGGGGCGTGGGGCAACTGCGGCGAGGATGAGCAAGAGTGCTATGTAGGAGGCGGCCATGTTGGAAGGGTTGGGTTGTGGGTAGATTCAATCGGAAGAAGACGATCTGAGCCCGTCTTTGACTAGTTATGGCTTCGAGGATCAAAACGAACAGCTAGAGCACGCGTGATAACAAAAATTCCCGGCCCTAGCCGGCTCGCTAGCCACTTGATCGATCCATCATGTGCGCTTGCCATTTGTAAAAGCATCTCCAACAGCCGCTGAACACGCCGCGCGCAAAAAACAGTTTTGCCGCACGCCCATCGCCTGATTTGGCGCGGCGCGCAGCGCTGACTCCCGCGCCGCGCTGACTCCAGCAGCCGCGCTAAGATACAGCGCGCAAAAATGCAGCACGCGCGCTCATTTTTACAACATTTTCGAAAGCATAGATAAATATTAAGATAATAAAAAATGATAAATTGTATAGATAAAAAACGATACAAAGGTATTTTACATCGGTGCAACTAGATAGATAGTTCGAAAGCATAGATAGATAGAACTACGGTGCAACTAGATAGAAACTACTACGGCATACATAGATAGAAACTACTCCAAGTCGCTACCATCATCACCATCCTCGTCGGTGTTGTCCGAGGTATCGAGCCATATGTCGTCCCAACGTTTATCGTCTGACGTGAAGATCGACCTCCCACCTGCTTCAATGATATCGCACTGCGCATTCGCCAATGCCTTCCGCCGACGTCGGTCCGCCCGCTCCGCGCGGCGCCTTGCCGTCCTCTCCGCCCAGTAGGCACGCTCGTCGGCGACGTCCTTCGGGTGGCGACGGTGCCACTCCGCCATGGCTCGCTCGTCCTCCTCGACGATGAGGAGGCGGCGGCAGCGCCGAGCGTGGTCGGCACGGTCCATGTCAGTGATGAGACGCGGCGGAGGGGCGACGCGCTGCGCCTGCCCGCGCGTGAAGACGTCCCGGAAGTTCATCTGCGACCGGGGCCTATCCAAGCGCCACGCCGCCGCGTCGTACACACGGGCCGCCTCATACGCGCTCTGGAACGACCCGAGGCCGAGCCGGACGTCGCCAGACCGGATCTCGGCGGAGTACCAGCCGTTGGGGCGCTCGCGGACGCCCCGGTAGCCCGAAGAACCCCGGCGGCGCGGCGGCATGGTGGCGCGATGGTGACGCGGAAAGCGGCGAAGCGGCGAGGTGGCAAAGAGGCGAGGTTGCGAGGGGAGGGCGCGTGGCTGTGTCTGTGCGCGTGGCGAGCGCGGCATTTTATAGGCGTGCGCGAAGCGGCGCGCCAAATCTATCGCGCCGCGTGCCGCTTTCCCTCCCGCGCGCAAGCGCTTCCCGCGCGCGGTAAGTTCCTGCCACCGTTGGAGCGCGCGGAACCAGCCGACGCACGCTAAAACAAATTTTTACCGCGCGGGCGCGCCTTTTGCCGCGCCTGTTGAAGATGTTCTAATAACGAGAAGATTTGATCTCATCACCACGTCGCGTACGCAAGATCACAAGAGATGAAGAGTGGAAAAGGTCCAAAACTTTCCTACTCACTCCCTAGCGCTCCCGCCGCCGCCCCTTCCCCCACCCCCGCCGCCGGCCACTCCGGCC